CCCCCCCCCCCAACTGGCGGGTGATCTCGAAAATGTTTGTCATATTGCAAAACTAATTATTCATTGACAATTACTAATTGAACTCATCAGATACACTTTACCGTAGGTATATAAAATAATGAACAGCTGTTTAATAACGTTACCATAATCTACTAAGCTGAATTAGATAACGAAATAGATCAGATTTTACTCAACCAGTAAGCTTGTTAATGAGCAATCATGCGTATTGACATTCCAAGGTTAAAAAGGAAGAATAGAGTAACCTTAGAAAGCATAACCAATCCTCTGACACGAAACGTTTGCCTCTGATGATAGAACTATCACTGACAATGATTAAACAGAAAACAATCAGTGACTGTTTTATGAGTACCAATAAGACCTGTTTTCGTCTTTTGGACTAAATTAAGTTAAAGAGGAGATAGAAAAAAATGAAGTTTCCGCCAGATTTAGATAATATAAGAGATTTGATAATTGCACTTAATGGCGCAAAATCATACCTATGCATGAGTCCTAGGTGCCTAAAGAGTTCAGGCCGTAAGGACGAAGATTACATTAAGGCTTGGAGAATAAGCATAATCTAATTTCTGTTTCTGATAAAAGAAGAAAAACTCACAAGGAATTTGCCCTCATTTTGCCTGCATAGTTCCTCACATTTTCTCAGTGAGCCTAACCTGTTTACATTATTATTATTATTATTATTGGCTCAATAACTGGTAGGTCAACAAGCCTGTAGACAGTGGGGGATTGGAAATATGCTTAAAGAAGGGAGTATAGATGCATATGCTTGCACAGAGAGAATAGTGACCAATGACTAGATTAGGAGTTATATCCCACTTCATGCTCCTTTAGAGAATTATGATCATGCAGATAAGATGGCTTTTGTCCTCTCCCCATATAAATACTTGAATGTCTATTGGTTCATGGCTTCCTCCCTCGTACATTTTCAAAATAACCTTTAAGGCTTTTCATAATCACCTACACTACACTTCTAATAAGAAGTTCCTCAGCCAGGTCTTGCTTAGACCGCGTTTCCTGCACCCGCATACTCTTCGCATGCATCATAAACTACACCGCGATATGCATCCTCATAACAACATACCCAGGAAAGACACGTTGGAGTGAAATCAGAGAGACGGCATGATTACTCGGGTGAGCAGCCCACTTTGCATGAACATCCCACTGGGGTCGGGGCTGTAGAGGAGGGGATGGGTCCGGGCTACCTGCCACAGTGTCCGGTCTGTAGTTACATCGTGAGGGTCTGCAGCTCCTTATAGGTAGGTCCCATTTGACACAGCCCACAAAACCGTTGTTTGTACCGAAGTAGAAGACGTAGCTAACATTGAGGAAAAAAAGATTCGTGTTATTAGTAAAACACCATGAACTGCATAGATTGCATATTAGTGGCCAAGTGGTCAATGCAAACGTAGGATAAGTCAGTGGTCACAAAACTAACGGCTAACGGTGCACATCCCCATTGATGTAAATGGTCAACCGAAATGATAATCCAAATGGATCAGTGGGAAGTATAGTTGAATGAAGACTCATTACACGAATGGTTACAGGACATGATGCTTCAAGCTTTGTTAACCCTTTTCGTAATCGGCTTGGGAAATGGAGAGCATACTTGAGAGAGAACACTTTGACAATTTACAATAGTAGGTCGTGAAGAAAGATGGGGAACCTATATGACAGCTTTTGAACCACCACCACCACTACTAGGCATTTGACAACTACCAAACTAGGCTACAACCAAAATCAATGGATAAAATATCACAATTTAAGTAGTTATTATAATTATTCTTATAATTATTTCACGATCCCTTTGTTGAGCTAATGCCTTCGACCACATAAATTTAGCAGTAGGAGTGAAAGAGTGAAAAAAACCCACTGATTTTCTAGAGAGGGCTCAATGACAGTGACACCACCGACTCGGATTGACTCGTTTCCGTTATCGATCGGTGCTCCTTCGGCATCGTAGAAGGCATTAGGCAAGGTCAAATCGATTAACTGACGCAATTCAAGGGTATTTAAATCCCAAACCTAAAACGAAGAGAAACAATTAGGAGACAGTTGAAGTATTGGAAACGGATAATTACATTGGATAATGTGTACAGTGAGTTGGTGAGGCTGGTCGAATGTTTTCGTTGCAAATGAATGGAGCTAGCAAAAATTCCATAGTCGTGAACAGGATTACTGATTACCAGAATTCTACGCTCGCAAACTGGATATGTAAGGCAATCAATACGGGCAATATTGATGCAATAATTAGATAACTAGATTGCAGATAAATTTAAAATAATCCAATTCTCTGCAAGTAAATTCATTAACTTATTAGTAAAATCACTGCATGAACTTTATAAAGGTCAACTGGAAAGTCATAGAAGGATCTGGGAAAAAATCCGGGCGCTCAAGCAAAACCGGTAGGCTTCATTCACTTCTCGAATGGGTTACAACATGTCCATGGAATATCTACAGAAAACCAGCACAGTAGACGTGGAGTCAACATGTTGAGATTACACGCGCACAGGCGCATTCATTCTTTTGCAGTTATAAAAACGACGGTATATTTCTTGAATACAGTTGGTCCTAGATGAATAATCTGCCTATCATAGAGAGCTGACACTTTCTCGACCAGTGAAGCTGACAATTGCCGATCATGTAGAATTTCCACTCGAAATAAAGTTAAAAGTGCTGAATAAACGGTATTTTACTTGTTCCTAAAATAAGTAATCATTTAAAAATACTTAATTGTTGGGAAAAGTGTTGCCACCGGAATATTTGACCACCACCTGGAAGTGTGCAGTGTGGAAGCAATTGTCATATATGCTTTCATCATCACATTCAACACTTGCAATAATTTGTTTAAAGCTCTCTATATGCTCCAAATACAGAAAGCGCAAAGTTGAATGGAGGAATGGTGAGGACTTGCCTCAATGGTTCCATTAGCACATCCTGCGAGAAGACAACCAGTTGGAGGATGTATCTTCATCGACCAAATGGGACTGAAGCGACGCTCGAGATTCCGATGGGTTGAAGCCGCTGCCCGAACTTTAAAGCAACCAGGGTAAAATCTAGGGGGAAAAAAGGCCTCTTAAAGTATTGTATTTTTGGTTGCGTAGCAGCAAAAATGGCACCTTAACAAGTCCATAGCCTTTACTAGCATCCAAAGCAACCTGATCTTATTGCATTAATGGAGGCATGGTTTGCATTCAGATCCCCCCCCCCCCCCCCCCCCGCCCTATAAATACAACCTGCTAATCCAAGGGTAGACTCGGTAATAGAACTCTCACCTATCGATGGCGCCGACTGGAGAGGCACCATCAGCCGTCCATATCCTGATACCACGCATAAGATGAGAACCTCCGAAGTATCCTGAAACGGTCACCGCAATGAGGGTCTGGATATCTCCTGGACCTCTGAGATTACCTCGAGGTGTCTGACGAGTGTTGAGTCCGATGCTTAAGTTGGGAGTTGTGTTGTAGTAAAGTTCACGATCACTGTAGGCAATAACCCATTCCTGAATATTGTGACGTCGATTGATTAGTGGGATGGAGTGTTGACGTACTCGAGCCATTGGTTCACGACAGGCACCAGGGTTGGAACTGAAAGGCATAAAAGAATCAAAATAAGTAGGTGACACAGGTAATGAAATAGGATATAAATAACCAAAGACATAATTTGATAAATGCTACTTAATTCTTAGTGTTCCTTTTTTGGGAAAGATTCGATACCTTTTTTAAATTTAGGACTAAGTTAGTTCTGCGAGGGGTCACGTATCTTAATGTTGTCGAACTCATATAGTTGATTTACTGGCAGAATTAAACGCTGCTTTAAAAGCTTAAAATATCAGCTATCTTCAACAATCAAGTGGATGAAGCCTCCGTGAAATTTTTTCGACTAAAAATATCACAATAATCTAATAAGGATCAAATCAGCCAGATTTCTCATTCCCAATCATTAAATCTCATTTTCACTCTCATAACCTAGGGACTGAACAACAGTTGACTAGTCTAACGACGCGGGCTAAATATTAACCCCCCCCCCCCAAAAAAAAGCGACAAAAACAAGTACTTTGAAAAGTGTTGATGCACTAGTATCATGCAGATGAGGGTGATTGCAAGGAAGAATCCACCGCCCAGAAAAGAGACACCAGCCATTTTGGCAGTGTCCCACAGACGGGCTGTCCAGGATACCAACAAATCGCCCCAGGGCAGTCCCAGTGCAGCGAGGGCCTCCTTGTGACCGAAGGTCAGCACATGGGACCACCATGTGCGGTCTCCATCGAACTCACCGTCCTCAGAATTGACTGATTGAGTTGTCCCAGAGAACTCACTGAAAAAGAAACAAAGTAACCATTACCGATATTATTTACCTAAAAGGTCATTGAAAGCCTATCGAATATCCACCAGGTAAGAGTTTGTGTAATGAGAAAAAAATTGCTACCCTAATGAATACATAAAGTGGTAGAGATGGCACAATTAAGTACTTTAATGAATTGCCGCACCCCAATACCCCTATACTGAAACGTAAACCTATTTAAGAAAACGCTAGTCTGAGAGAGAGAGAGTAACACTGCTGAAAGAAACCTAAAAGGTGACCCATCTAGACGGTTGTTGATTGTTCGACCTATAAAAAGGATTAAGCCACGTGGATAGGCTATAAACAAGTTCTTAATATAAACAAGAAAACTGAGCTTTGACAGTGAAGAAACCAAAGAATCCAATTATTACTCTGTGGTAGTTGAAGCCCCATCAGTTTGGCATCCTCCTTCCCCTCCCGCAGTCAGGCGCTCTTCCTCATCAACAACAAGAGGTCCCGCTTGAACAGCCGATTCAGGTGAGAACAACTGCACCACATGGATGGGTTCGAAGACAACCAAACGCCATCCAGACAGACTGAAGTTATACCGATCGGCAATTGACGGCCAGGCGGAGAAAGCCATGTGTCGCCAGAGGCTGTCAGTATCCCATCGCAATTCAAATCCATGCCGATTGATAACTCGCAGACCGAATATTTGACGGTGGAGGACGAAATCGTCATTTTTTTCATGGGAAGATGTACTACTTTTCGTGCCATTCTGATTGTAAGGCGAGTCAGGAGGGGGTTTTGATGAGTCGTCTTGGGAATCGGAGGTGGTGGTGGTGGGGTCTGCAGGTTGCTGTTGGTTATTGATAGTTTCGAAGACTAGGAAGGCGAGTATGATCATCGTCTGAAATAAACAAGCAAAACGATTATTCAATTCACTGACAGAACAGATAGATAATAGAAATATTAAGGGTTGAATAAAATCTAAAGACTGTGTCTTCTACAAAAAGTCAAACAAAATTAAGGGATTTAAATGACAAAGACAGTTACCTTCAAGTCAAGAAAAGAGGAAGAGATATTTTGCGAAAAAATTACCTACAATAAATATCCCTCTCCAGAAGATGATTAGAAACGAAAAAATGTCTCCCCTAACTAAATTAGTCAATCCTAATCATTGCTACTTTTCCATTTCTCTCATTGGTTGTGCACCTTATATCATTCACCGGATGTGAACCAATGAGTATCCAGCGAGTTACCTGAATAATTAGACATACTGACCCTTATTGCTTATAAGTTCACTGCTTCAGCAAATTCATATATACGAATAAAAATGAAATGATAGAATAAGCAAATCGGAGTGGATCTTACAATTCCAACACATTGCAAGAATCGTCGACTGCAACGAAATCGTCTTTGTGGCACCGTATTACGACTCCTTTTGTCATAAATAATAAAGGGCGCTGATGTTGCATCTATAAACGATAATAAAAAAAACACTCGAATAGAGGCCAAACCGTGCACATATACTGCGCTCAAAAACCTACCAGAACGAACGCGCCGATGGCCAAGAGAAATCGACGCATTTTGAAGGGTTGGTGACATAGAGCGTCGGAGACACTCTGATGGTTGAGACACTAGGATTTCACGAGAACGATGCGGCGCAATACCACCAGAAGTGTTACTGTTTGCGACAAAACCGCTGGGCTGTAGTCTATCAAAATCAGTGGCCACCATTGGCATCGCTGATAGGATTGCGAAGTTTTGGAGATCTGCAAGCTACATATAAAAGTAGAATAAGCTTCACTACAGTTAATATTGACATTATAGAATGCTGTTAGTTATTTGCATTCCAAAATGCCCGATGTGGAGGCTGCATGTGCTTTGGGAGTAGTTTAAATCCATTTTCCATGAAGTGGTAAGGTAGGAAGCGTCCGATGTCTGTTAAATCAGCGTGGAACTTTACTTGAATAAGTTCATCTTGAATTTAGCCACCTACATCCCTTATTGGATGGAATCTTTCCTCCTTGAGGGTGTATGATGCCTCCCTCCACATTTTAAAATAATATTATTGGGTTGAATTCTGATGTATGGAATTGCTAACCACTCTTGTCAAGCCCTGGACGATGAATGCAGACAGTAAGAGAATCCAAAAAGTTAAAAGACAGAATTGAGGCAGTTTTTGATACCCTACTGCTAATATACCCCCAGCGGACAACCAGCACTATTATCTTGGTGGTCTTGATTTGTTTAATGTAGCCAGATTTAATAACCAATTTGATTAATTGATGTATAAAAATAGTACGGTTTTTTCATGTCATATTCTCTTAGAAGATTAACATAAAATGAAAATGGATGGCATGAGTTCCTAAGTTTGAGTAACACTGACAAAAAAGGTAAAACTCACCTCCATTCGACGAATATCGATCGCAAGAACGGGTACAAAGAAGAACATTTGTAGGAAGAAATCTGTAGTATAGCTGACGATAGCAATGAGACAGAATTCTTGAATTCCTGAATTGAAGGTGAGGAAACCAAATGCGGTTCCCACAAAAGCCAACATTAGATTCTTAGTCATTGGCCAGCCCTCTTTGGCTAAACCTTGATTGAATTTGGGGGGGGGGGGGGGGGAATTTCATTGGTAATGCAGATTAAAAATGGAATTTAAGGCGAATTTGCATTCCCACACTTACCCTGAGCAATACGATACTTAACTGGAATGTCAATTGGTGTATTGACAACAGCTTTAGTAACAGAAAGAAGTTTCTCAAAACCAATTAGAACCACGAGATAGGGGAAGAACTCTCTGCAAAATAAGAAATATAAAAAAAACAATAAATACCGCGATCATTATACGCCCACCACCAATGGGATTAAATAGCGCTAATTCCGATTGGCTCTGACAAAAGCAATGATTTGCCTAAAGGCTAAGAGGATAAAAGAGTCTTTCAAAACCAGGCGAGTCCAGTGAACAAAAATGGAGGAAAGCGGAGTGAAGTGAGATAGGAATTTGTTGGGATCAGGATAGGGGTTTAAGGTACGTTACAAGATGTTGAATGGCTTTGCATTCCTTGTACATCGATGAACAACCACCTAATAAATCACCATTTGGCAATTAGAAGGTTACAGAGATATGAATTAGCTTGATAGAATGCTACAGATCTTGTTGTCACATACTGGCGCCAAGCTACTGATTAAACCATCAGCCAGCCACGACCAAATGAAATTCTAACTCACCTTCCACGAAGAGCAGGCGACATCAAGCCACAGGTGACGCAGGCACTGAGAGTCATGACAAAGGAGGCGAACATTGTAAAGCAAGCGCTCACAGCCAATCCAAACTTTGATTTGACCATGTTGATTTTACCTATAGTTGATCAAATAAAATCAAGATGGGTTAGGTGAGACGGCCACTTCTGAATGCATTGCAAAGAGAATTATTTCAAGAGGCTACTCTGGTCAATGTTAATGATTAAACAAATTTCTTTATTCACTTATGCGCCTTGATGGGTAAAGTGAAATACTGTTGCACACATAATTATGACAATTTCCTATTGGTCAAAATTTAATTATCTCCACTCTGTTAAACTGATCTGCTTCTGCACTCATTGTGATAACGGTTATCATTTAAGCCCATGTAATTCGATTCCATTACTACCCGTCAAGCCTATTGAAAGAAAGCTTATTTCAAGTGTAGCAACCAGGAGCCCATTGTGAGAAACCAGCATTCTGTTATTCTAGCATGAAGAGTTTCAAACAAAACCAATGACCATGACAATATGGAGGGGGGGGGGGTGTGGACCCGTGACCTCTATTTCAACGAGATTACATGTCGAACACTACGACCACTTACTAACAGAGAAGCAGATGTAGAGAACAAGACAGGTGTAGAGAGCAACAAGAGGGGCATATTGCATGTAGAGATTGTGTCCCCGGTAGTGGACCACAAAAACATTTGGACCAGTGTTGTCTTTGAGCTGCTCTGGAGAATCACTTCCCCCACCTTCCTCTGGTTCAACTGAGGGCAAAGAAGAAAACGAGGGAGAAAAAGAGAAGTAGCCCTGATTGCTGCTCTGTTCCACAAAACGCGACTCGGGAAATGCCTCCACAAGGCGTTCTCGCAGGTTGTGAATGTACCTGAAAGATATACAGCAACAAGGCTATGAGGTAAGTTTAATCGAAAGTAAAAATGTGAGGAAGAGCAAAGATTTCATTGCCGCTTCTCGTTCATTTCGTTTGATTTATCTTCAATCGGAAATAATTAAATTAATTTTCCGGAATGGTGGTTTGAAATCAATGGTATATGTTTCACCAACAAGAAAATGTGAATGATTAGTCTCAGGATGTCATATAGCCATGCACTACGAAGAACAACGCACCATTTTATTCAAATAAATATAAAAGTAGCCCCCACTTCACTTAACTGCCGATAATTGAATTATTAAGTCCATCTAACCTTCACAACACCAAAATTTCACTCCTCTGCATTGGTAACTAATTTAAACACGAATATGCAACTAAATCACAGGCTACCACTAACAGAATGATGGATCAAATTAGCTTGAGGCATGGCAAACCATGGGTATATTTGTCCAAGTGAATTCCATCCACGCAATTATTGGTCAATCGGGAAGCCAATATCACACCACACACTTAACTCTATATAACTGCGTGGGGTGCGCAATAGACTTACCTCCACGTGGTGCACCCTGGGCAACGTATACTCACACGGCAAAAAAGTCTATTATTCGGCAGTTAACTTCTGATTTCAAACTACTATGGCCTGACTATTTGTCATATTCGACCCCTTTCACAGAACTCATTTTACCTTTTTATGCCTTTGTCTGTTCCTTTCACACCTGTGTATCACTCTTCTGTTCCCCCTCTCGACTTTTTGTCACTTTGATATTCCTTCTCCTCTCTGTGAAGCCCCGAAGTCAGCTCCAGGGTCAATAACTATCAAAACGCCTGCCATTTGATATAAATATAACTGCGTTTTTTATGTTGATACAAAAAACTCCCATCTTACTCCTGAGGCCTGAGGACAACTGAACAATTATATGAAGGCAGCAAAATGAATTTCCCAAACTGTCAGTAAATATGGTACCTATCTAACTCTATACAAGACGGCACCACTTCTGTTTGCGAGTAAAATCTAGAAGGTCAATGATTCGAAATCTTAGTGAGAAATCAAGATAGGAGTCAGATTCAATATTCTCATAGAAAGTATAAAAGAATGCATATAGTAAGCAGTGATTTTGATTAACTAGCAAAATGCTTTCAAGGATAAGATCAATCAGTAGTAACATTCTAGGAGTGATATAAATTCTCGTTTTCAAGATTAAACGTCAAATATTTTAATAGAAGTTGTCTCTCAGTAGACCATTTCAACTTCTCGATTAGTAAAGAACATTGTTTCGCAGAGTTGAAGTTAATCTAAAATTGTGATTCAGTTGAGGTAAAGATCCAGCATCGTAAATTTAATAAAATAATAATTAAAGAAAAAAATCTTTGGGGAAAAGTTGAATAACCGCATATGAATAGCTCCAAGAGAATCTTAGATAAAAAAAATAATCAAGTATCCATAAATTAGGTATAAAATTTCAGAATATATTTAACAAATTCCATAACAAATAAATGCAAACATCGAAATGACAGACAACTCTTTCAAACCAGTTTGTGGGAAAATTCTCTATTTCTAGGTAATGACAAAGTAATTTCAACCGCAATGCTGAACAGGCAGAAGCCATAAGAATGTTGTAAATCCAGGAAAAAATTTTAAAACGTACATCAACACTTACTCAGGATAGAAATTCCTAAGTACAATGGTGGTAGCAAAAGCATTAACCACAGGTAGATTACGGAACTTCACTTGTGACGTGCCAATATGTCGACGAGGGAGTCCAAATAGGACATCAATAAGTTCCTGAACATCATTATAATTAAGCCGTTCCGAAAGGTCAATATCATCTTGAAGGAACAAACTATGCTCATTACTCCAGATTATACTGGGTGAGATAATGGCACAATCTTCAACCGGCAACTTTGGTGTTGGAAGGCTTAAAATTCGTGAGGTTGGACTTTGTGCATTAGATGGAGGCGTAGTTTGGGAATTCGATGCGCTTAAGAGTTCTTTCATCTAGGTATGATTAAATACGATTAATCAGCTAAGAACCTACTCGCATACAAATTGAATCAAATGTTTGTTCCGTTTTACCGTCAGTGGAAAATGTAGTTGATTTAATAATTTCACGGACACGGAAACTGGCATTTAAATTTGAACGCAAACCATCAAAAGAGTTGATGCCGAGGTGTTCACGAGAAATGGCTGATCGAAAAATTATTTGAGCAACAAAGATAAAATTATAATCATCATTTGAAATATGCTACAATGAATAATAAGCGTGACGTTTGTAAAGATACCTGAAAACTGGGCGTCGATATAACAGAACGAAATTTGGACTCTGGAATAGGAACAGCTTCAAATGGAACATCCCGAGTGATAGTAATTTTTTGAAGCGGAAAGCTAAAAATACGCGTTTATTTAAGAAAACATTACCAGAATATTAAAAATATACAAATAACGGTGATAAGTGGTTGCAGAGGCTTCGTTGAGCAATATAACCCATGGTGGAAAAATACATTTGAAACAAATTCCGGCACGGTCATGACGACGGAAATAAATAATAATTGTGAAATTAATTTAATCCGATAAACTAAATTATAGATAAATTATGCCCTATAATGCGTTCATAGCAATTTCAAATTCAGGATCATCCCAAAAGTCATATGACAAGGAACCAATACTTGCGCTGCCGCGTTAGAAATTTATAACAATCTAATTATTCTACGATAACTTTCCAGGTTTTAGTTTGAGAAATAAACCTTGCTAAATTTATATAAGTTATTAAAGTAATACCATTTAATGTGTGTTGTGATTGCTAATGGACGTAGTGCCACAGTAATTATTTGGCTTCATTGAAAACAATACTGAAAAGAAAATAGATTTGAACATATGTCACTATCATTAGTATTACAAAGGCAAGATTATAATTATTCGGATGAAATTTGTGTACAGTGTACACGTTGTACCATCTGATACCAATTCCAATCAATCGTTTAAATAATGACGGATCTAATTTTAAATTTATTTTCAAATGCGATTTCATTACAACACAGCTTACTTTTTTGCAATCCAATGTCAATCATTTTAAAATTAATTCATCAAAGATTGATGTTAGCTTACCAGTTCTACATTTACCTGTTTCTGTATAAATATCTTCCAAACTCTCTATGAACGTAATCTTTGTTTTGCTAGCTAGTCACCACTGAACTCTTTCCTATTTGCATTCATCAATACTCTTCAATCAGCCTATACTCAATCTTGGACTGGAATACACCCGTGTTTTAGTTAGTCCATATTAATTCGACATGGCATAACAACTAGACAATTCCAACAAGTGAAACTTTGTGACTATTTTTAACATTCTTACTCTTTGTTCGTTCAGTGTAAAATTATTTTTATTCTCAGTATCTTCTTTATTGATTTAAATTTCGAAAAATCATAAAGATAGCTTTTCGACATTTGTAACTTCAACATTCCAGCCTACTCGTTTTCATATACAGGCTCTTGCGTATGAGACTTAGGTTTACAAACGGCATTAAGTAGGGCACTTTGACTTCTAAATGCGATCTTGGTGATTTATATTTACTGTCACTAAAGGGTCAGCTATTCTGTATTAGGGGATTTGCAAAATAACTATTAAAGAAAAGAGCAATAAATAACAGAAACTGATCAATCGTAGAATTTCTGGTAACATTAATAGCTCTTCAAGCGCCTTCCTGACGAGTGGTCAATAGAATTACATTCTTATAATTAGTCCTGTTTGATACGCAGCCCATATCTTTCAATGATATCGCCAGCATTCATATAAACTAATGTCGAACGGAATGCAATTAGTGACTCCTCAGGAAAATGATAACCGACTACCTTATTTCTGTTTTCCAATTTGGGGTGTGCAATAGATCTACTTCCACTTGGTGCATCATGGGCAAATATGCTAATACAGCAGTCTTTAAACCAGCAGTTGACTTCTCACTTCAAATTACTAGGACACAAATGTGTCATATTCGACCACTTCCACAGATCTCATCTTACCTTTACCCTACCTTTGTGTCTGTCGGTCTGAGTCTTTTACATTATGAACCATTTTTCTGTTCCCCCTCTCCACTTTTTCTCACTTTGATATTTCTCCTCTCTGTGAAGCCCAAATTCAGATAAAGGGCTAATGATAGCTATCAAAACGCCTAATCTATGAAATGTTTCCCAATTTCACTAACTTTAAACAATAATTGCTCACTCTAGGTTCTGACATAATATTGCTTTACTTACTCCACCAGCGCAGGAAGTACGACCCCTAAATTGAATAGCATTTTAAAGGATTTTATTGTCTTGAGAGGGGATGCTTTAAAACGGTAAAGTATCAAATCATCCATCTTTTACTTTACTTAGCACCAACGATAAATCGAACAGTAAAGTAGCCGCACAAAGACCTTAAAAATAAAACCATTATCCAAATAGCAATATGCCAAGATAATCAAAATAGCCAAAAATCGACCGAATCAAGACGGCACTCACTATTCGTTAACAAAAACCGGAAAATCCAAAGCCCTTAAATCGTATAGAACCCCTATAATGTAGAATCACATGGTAACGATAATTTAAAAGAGAAAAAACTACTTACTCGTGTGCGTGGTATGTATGTATATGAAACTTGAATCATTTTAATACACAGAAAGGACATGTACAAACGAAATGTAAGGGGCATAAGAGAAAAGGGTACATCTAAGTTTAAGACTTTAATCTAGAACCTTTTTTCTTCTGCGACTTTTTTGTAGAAGTCTTCATGATTCTTTTGACCTTTCTCCGTCCAGTTTTCTTTAATATCGATTTTAGCTCTGAATCACTAATGGGGAGGAATTTGGCTGCCTCGAGAATGGTTTCAGTAAGAGGAATTTGAAGACTAGACGTAGCGGAACCCTGTGATTTGATAACTTTAAGGTTGGTCTTTGATTCTTCTGCACTTGCATTGGTATTGTCATAGTAAATTGGAACACTAGGGCCATTTCCACGCAAGTAAATGGATCTAATTGTTTTCATCCCGCCTGGAAGCTTACTCGAGACATCGGTAATCAGCACAAATAAACAAAATAAATGGTAAATGACACAGGAAAGGCGATAAATAGGTGAAATAAAGAGCTCAAACTTACAACTGAAAGAGTATTTTCCTTTATATCCTCGATTGACAAACTCGTATTGCCAATAACAACAGATTCTGTGGTTCCTTTGCCGCTAATAGTAACTAGGCATGAGTGAAGAGCGTCTTCGACAGCTTTAACAAGATTATTTCCATCAATAGTGACGGGAATCGGAATCTTATCACGTGATTTTCCATAGAAAGCCTTTCCCAAATTTGTTGGGAGATGGTGGACAATACGCCTGTCTGCTAGGAAAATATCAAACGTAGATGCAAGTTTCCTTTTGGATTCAAAAGATTGATAACATAGCTTCAATTCACTAATAGGTAGAAAGGTAACTGTAAGGCTTGTTGGCGTATTCACAGAATCAGCCCTCCATTTTCGCTTCCATAGATCGTTGCTGGCGTCATAATCAGCCTTCTTTAGGTCCTTTACAAGTAAGCAAACGTCCACACCTGAAGGTCTATGTGGGAGATTTGCATGGATTGTACATTTAGGCAAGGCCAATTTTCCAACAAATGAAAGAACAACGTTGGGATGAAATAACAACTTTTTAACTTTAGGAGCCCTGCAGTCACCAACTACCAGATCCAATGTTTCGTCACTGAGATTCTTCGCCACTAAATCCATAACCACACAACGTGCGCAAGTGATTATTTCGAATTTGTCATGGATGTTCTAGTTGGGTTAAATACATCAGTGCCAAAATTTTAAACATTAATGTGATTTTATAAAAAATAGAACAATTTTATAACTTAAAAAATATTTTAAGTTATTATCATTGAATTTTAATAATTTCATTTACTTATCCTAGTATATAATTTAATTTATATCCATAAATCTAGTACAATTTCGATTAAAGGAATATTTGACCAAGTGAAATTTCACTTATTTACTTTTTTCTAATTTAAATCTGTCTGATGGCTTATAAGGTATTTCTGCTAAATTTCTTTTAGTTAAATCATCTTTCAAATCCAAGTTATATCAAAACGTAGATGCTTTTTTGCTTTATTATTAAATGAAAACTTTCAGAAATCCGACTTGCACCTATTTCTTGTTCAATCTTCAATCATTATTGTGACCAACTGCCATAGATCTCAAATGGAATTTTGAACTCCTTGAACGGTTCCTAAAATCGACAATGTCTGTCGTACTTGTGTTGATCTCTCAGTAGATGTCTACTTTAGACTGTGTTTACTTTCTCTCTGTTTTTGCGTTAAGATAATGAAGTTACAATGTATGGCCTCAGTAAAACTAGAAACCAAAACTCAGGTGTCCACCGGTCAATCCTAATTCCTTACCTACCCAGAAAACACATCTATTAATTATAGAGAAAACCAGGGGATATACAGTGCTTTACCATATCCGAAATAATGGGACCATCCATTACTAATTTAACATCTTTATCTATTCTGACCTATGATTTGTAGAGCCCTATTCATGAGTCAATAGATTTTATATGAGTAGAATACGACACTTAATTTAACCAGACGCCCATAGCAATATTGCAGGACTTCCAAGATGATACACCAGAAATAGAAGATTATGTATATAGACAACAAACGATCATTGATTGAAGACTTTTCAGTTAAGCTATCACAATTGTGGGACCTGTTTGCGATGCAAGGTATTGTTCAAGTGATCTGATAACATATCAGGCACTATTGTAAATTTACCATTAGCAGTCTTAGATTGATTCACTTTTGCTCAGTCCTTCTGTCGCAGTGCCAGAGCACAAGTTATATTTACGATGTATTAACCAAGATATAACTAATATCTTTATATTTAGTAACTGCAGGTCATCAAGTTTTCTGATATGAAATTGGATTTTTTCATTTATCTTTAGCTCGATTCGTTATTATTATTGGCCTCGTCACCCTAAACCACGATTTTTTGCATCATAAACTTCTCTATTTATTAAATTAGGAGATCCCTGTTATGACATTTTAATAATAATTCTTACACACCTGTTCGACTTAATTTAACACATATCGAAGTCAACAAAGCCTCTGACTTACAAGGCTTCTGGTTAATGCTCAGTAAACTCTTATTGCCGCTCTCTTAACTTACTTTCATCTAAGAATTGAGACTGATGGCTCAGCTAATCGTTGAGGTCCCGTCAACTTATGCACCCCCACATTCAATTTCTTTTCAGGTGCAAACAGCACAAATGTCATCTGAGACCTTGGAACCAAGTCATATCTGACGCCAAAGGAAGAAGCATTTTGAAAACGAACCTAACTTATTAATCAGTTAATCAAGGTGACTTCCAGGCAGTCTTCAAGCGACATTGGTGACATCAACCATTTCTCTGTGGCCACGATTAAAACTAATCATTAAGTCTTTTGTTATTGAACGCACGTTATTTCACATACTAAAAATTAATTAAATACTCATAAAGTGTTTCGGCAAATTTTAACATACATACGCTATTAATTAAACAACATACCTACCACCTTCGTCTGAAAGATGGTGTTTGAGGAACGATAGTCTCGCCATGGAAGCAACTTAAAATTACTTCCCGATAAGCGATGCACTCAATTAACCATCAACAAAAAGAGGCATGCCATTATACTCTGATTTCGCATCACATAAACCCGAGTAACGAAAAAAATAAAAAACACAATATAGAAATATTAAATTTTATTTTAAATTAATGGGTAAGAAACTTTAGCGAAATGAGTTTAGACAAAATAGAGGGCAAAATATATATGTGTATACAAATCGACCGAAGAATAAATCATGGACGTCTAGACATTATGGAGTAATCAACTGATTTGCCTTCCTTCGAGAGATCGGTGCTATCAGTCTTGAATCCATTCCTACCGAAGAATGCATAGGCGGATGAATTGAACTTAAACACAGTCAACATAACTCGAGTTAATTTATTGACTTCAGCAATTTTATACAGAATTTGGAGTAAGTTCTGCCCCAGTCCCATACAACGAATCCTATCTAGAACCTGAATTTCGTAGCAATAGAGTACCGGGCGTCTTGCATCAACTTCAAATCGGAAGTGAACAAAAGCACAAGGATCATTATCGCTTGGATTTAATGATGGCGGATTTTTATGTCGACCAATATCACAAATTTGCTTAGACTTGGTGGGATAACAAAGCAAAAGGCGAGATTCCGGAGCGAACATCTCATTAAATTTGGATTCTTCATCCCAACCCCATGATGATTTTAAATATAAATGCTAAAACCGAGAAAATCTGTAGATCAAAATTAATGTAAATACAAAATAACTAAAATCACAGACTTATATAACAGTACCTTCATATTATTTTCCAAAAGACTGAAGACCTTTGATTTGTCGTCTGAAGATAAATCATGAGAATGCAAGCATCTAATAGTAAAATCAAAGCAGCAGGAATTAATAACTACAGTTGAATTTGAAATGCTCTTTAATAATTCACTGCAAGGAACCTCATTTGCTGCAGAGACAATACGTTCTATCTCCTCAATATTCAGAGATTTAGAAGGAGTTTTAGAATAATGCAACTTTTTTCGAAAATTGGAAAACGACATAATGCGATTTCAAAACACCAAGGTCAGCTACAAATTTCCGGCAAAAAAACAAGTAGGTGGAAGATGATTTAATGTATACAATTATGTTAGTTAGTAACAATTTAATTTTATTAATTCAAAAATGATTAATAGATTATTTAAATATTTTATCTGTGATATTGAATGCTTAATTGTTTCATAAATATTTATGGAGGTTTTTCAAGAATTAAACCAAAAATAACTAGTCATATTTTGATTTGTACCTGTAAAAATTTCTAATAGAATATTCGTTTTAAACTCTCAAAAAGAAATTTGAAGTTGCACATAGGCCAAAATAATAGGTTGAGCTATCATCTTTACTAATTGAGAGGTTTTTGTTTTCATTGAATGCAACGGATTTCTTAATTTGGCGAATTTGTGTTAAACTTTTTCTAATTTGGTCTCCTGAAATAATACAGTTAAATAAACTCAACGTTATGATCCTCTCACTGAGATACTATCTAATTAACATAAAATAAATATAAATCTCTACATTACTGATTCCTAAAATAAAATATCAAACAAATAATATGCTATCCCACAGAATCAAAAAGTAAATCGACGTCCGGTATATGCAGCGGCCAAGTTGAGCAGCTCATATTGTAGTTTGGTGACTACTGACTCGTTGGTACGTATCATTGCTAGGAAAATTATTGCCCAACTTAAATTAAAAAAGACATAATTTTAATTTACTTTATGAACCCCTGTTTGGACCTTATGTTGGACACACCATTGTAGCTAATTCATATTCAATGGTGAAATTGTAGGAAAATTAATGTCAAACCACACCAATTGAGCAACAGACTATGATAAACTTTTAGAACCTTGCAGTAGTAAAATTTTATTTTATCGAATCCCCTTAATTTGCATCAATATTTTAGAGATTAGATATCCGCCTAATATGTACCATAACCTTTTGAAAATTTGAAAAGGTTAATCTTGATTCTGTGTTTAATAGAAAGGCTTGGGGTGATTAATAAAATCTGCGATGGCACAAACAACTTTCTACTATGATTATTATAATAGAAGGTGTAAAAGGCATAACCGAAAATCCTGTTTCAGTTTAATAGTTATTTGCAAAAAATCGTACCATATCCTAAAGAAATAAAAAATAAAAATTATTTTGGATTGCTTTCAATTTTGAAAATTACAAAAGACTAACTACGAATTATATATGTTAGTATAGTGCTTGTGCTTTTTATCTGAACAGGCTGGGTCTTCACTAACCGCTGAAATGTCTTCTGGTACTCTACCAGGCGAGTCCAGCACGTGCAATGCCACATCAACGACGAATGAATTAAAAGATAGTGAATATGTAGACATTTTAGGAAATGGCACTGTCCTGATAAAGGTTAGTGACGGATGCACTTGTGATTGATACTTTATCACTCTTCTATTATCAATATTTTGACTTGCTTCAGACTATTAGTAAGGGTCTGGGTCAAGGGAGTCGTCCTTCACATGGTGATTCAGTGGTGATAAGTTACAAGTGTTATTTGGAAGATGGCACGCTTGTTGAAGAATTAGAAAACCAGAATATTGTAATTGGTGATGGTGATTGCACACACGGTAAGTGGCAAGCTGAATGTTCATTGCATTTTCAATAGCAATTGACCTCGCCCTTCCATTTGTTGAGCTAATGGAGGAATTTGAACTCGTCACCGATGCTCGTTTCGCTTATGGCTCTAAGGGCAAGTGAGTATTTCTGCTTACCGTATGCTTTATTGGTAAAATTTTGTTAGCATATTTCTTGTTTTAGCCCACCTAATATTCCACCTAATGCTAAACTTACCTATCGTATATCCCTTATTGCCTGCTTTGATCCACCTTGCTATGAAAAGATGTCCATAACGAAGCGTTTCGAAATATCAAACCGAAAACGGGAACGCGGTAATTTCTATTTCCGGTAAGTTGTTCCTCACCTGTTATTCATTTAAACCCCGCTACTTTGCTCTGCTGATTTCGTTTCCCCAAATTAGACGCGAAGATTATCAACATGCCTTATTCTGCTACTCCACAGCGCTTGAAATTTTGCTGAAAAAGTCAAAACTACCAATGTCAGAACCTTCTTCTGAGGAAAATTTCAATGATGAGTTGCCGGAAAAACCTATTCCTACTGATGCACAACTAAGGGATTTGGAGATAAAACTGAAGAATAACATGGGTGCATCTCAATTAAAAGTATGTTTTCAAATATATTTTGATCATTGTGCATTTTTTCAGTAATATAAACTTATTGATACTCTCTCTGTCTTTTAAAGTTGATGGCTTACACAGCGACGGTCGGATCTTGTAATGATGTCCTTCGTCTAGATCCTACAAACATCAAAGCAATTTATCGAAAAGGCCAAGTAAGTATTTTCTTGCTTTCTTTGCGTAAAATCATATGAATTCTTGTCTTCATGCCTTTGTCTCACCTAAATTATCACCAAACATCATTTATACTAAGACTTTTCTACCATCGACAATGTCTCACTTAAATATTGGAATTGTTCTGTTTAATTTTTAATCTAGACTGGTTCTATTAATCAGAGTTTTCACTGAGAAAATCCAATTCTAACAATCACCCACTGAAAGGGGTTGATTGGAAATTTACGTTTATAGCTGGGATTGCGTTATAATTCTAAATTGTCTTTTTGGGAATGAAAATAACTATATTTCTTTCGTTTGCTTAAGTTCTGATATGAACAAATTACTCTGCCTCTGATTCTTTACAGATTAATGTGACTAATGCTTTTACGCTCATTGTTATGTTAAGTACAATATTGTAGCTTTGAATAAAGAACGATATTTCTGGTGAGAAATGGCACAAGAAGAGCAATCTCTTGTTGCCTTCCTTCCATTCTTGTCTGGTCATTTATGGATTGGTTTGCCATCCGGCCAATCATATTGATCCATCAATAATTGGTTTATTCCTTCTTCAGGCGATCACAGTATTTCAAAGTAGCATAAACGAGTATCTAAGTTATCAGTGAATATCTCAGATTTCTCTCTGAAACTGAGTTGGCTGTTACTTAATGACACTAACGTATAATTGGGTTATGTTGACATTTTAACTTATTAGTGGTCTACTATAAAAGTTGAGATTTTGCTCTTGACGTGGTTCATAGTATATTAGTCTCTTTTAGGCACTAGAAGCATTGGGAGAGCTTATTGAGGCCAGAGAGACGTATGAGGAAGGTCTTCGATATCACCCCACTTCTGAAATATTGAGGAAATCCAGGAATGAAGCCAGAGAGGCATGGAAGAAAGAAAGGAGTCGTCAATCAGGGGCACTTTCTAGATACTTCAAAAAACACAATATTTGTCCAAAAAATGAACAAAAAGTGTCAAGTTTCGCAGGTCGGCTGAGGACACTTGTAAG